TTATTGCAGCAAGAAGAAAATCAACTAGAAGTAGATTGATTCATACCCTTTTCAAGAAGAGCATTAATGAGATTGTTATAGAAAGCAATCCCTTCATCGTTGACTTTGGTTCCCAAACCATCTAAAAGTATAAAGATATAAACAAACACATTTAATTGTCATCACAATACAAAAAGGAACCATGTAAGCTGAATCAATTGGGAACAGAACTGGGGAATGAATAAAGGCGAAGACAATTTAAAAAAAAAAAAAAAAGAAAAGAAAAGAAAAGAAAAGAGCTTCCAAGACAGGACAAACTAAATGGAATATAACTATATGAGTACCAAAAAAGTTTACAAATACTATTACAAAGAGCTTCAACAACTAACTGGAATAGGCATTCTCTTAAATACTTCTCTAATTCTAAAGAAGGCCCAAGGTTCCCAGAGGTGCAGAATTCTCTATATAAAAAATTTCTAACAGAAGTTCTGTGCTAAAACAAAAAATTCAAGATAGAAGACAAGGGCATACCAGGAAAAATTCGAGACCATGATAGAGAGAATCGATAAGCATGAAACCCAAACTTATGTATAAGGTCAACATCTTCCTGTAAATCAAGATTAAGTTCAGAAAGCTAGAATCGGAAAGATTAAATTGAAGAAAATATGACTATCATGCATCACCCTACAATGTAGAATTTTGACCTTGCTAGTACACTTTCAAATACATTAAGAATTTTCAACATTTAATATTTCCTTTATGGGAGTTCAAGTAAAATAGCTAGACAGACTATTCAACTTAAAAGGTACAGCCAAAGGGGCACCGTCTCTTTCCATCTCAGCAAACTCCCCTCACCAAACCCAAAGAGAAAAAGGAATCAACGGAGATAAGCACCAGAAAACAATAACAACACAAAGTCACTGGGAAAGCAAATGAAAAAAGTGAGCTAGAAATAACTAATAACACTGACCTTGTATCGATGATAATGGTCCACGGCTATGTCACCAGTGCTTCCATCAACAGTTTTTCCTTTACAAAGGAAAATTTTAAGAAGACAAACAAACAAAATTTCATTATCATAACAAGGTATAAAGTCCAGTTTCAGAATGATAAGCGGATTGATGACAAAGAAGATTGTCATTTCTTTCCCTTTAGAGAAAATGGTACAGACCTTCAGTGTGTGAAAAAGAATCCCATATGCTAGCACCCCTGCCACCCTCCTTGCAGGCACCTTCAATCTAAAGATATGAAACAAACAATCAATTAGATTCAAAATTGTTGAAGTCTTCTTTCCTTTTTTATGGATATCACATTAGAAGACTAGATATCCACGGGCCTGGCTAATATTACTACAGGAACACAATCCTTTATACAAAAGTACCATCAAGTCAAACTTTATGGAAAAGTAAAATTAACACAACCAAAACATAACAGAGAAATAATACTTTCCACAAGTTTGACTTAAGTGTCCACAAATTTGGCCCCTCATCTCAAATCCTGGCTCTGCCACTGGTCAATACAGAGAAATTAAAAAGAACAAAAACCCATCTCATGATTTATAAGAAATGGATACCACTACAAAGATACACAAACATGGACAATCTCTTATAGAATTCTCAGTCAAAGCATCAGACAGAACATGAGAGGTCAGTACGGAAGAATCAGACCAAACCCAGATCCCAAATTGGAGATGAATTCAAGCCAAGATTCAGATATGCATAATATAATGCATGATGATCTGATCAAAACAAAACCCAGAATACCTGATATGCAGAGGTGGCGACGCCGAAGAAAAAATTGGGAGGGAAGTCTGATCGAGAGACTTCTTTGGCACCGGAATCAGCACCCTCATTTCCCAGGAAGAGCTCCTTCTTCACCATTGTTACAATCTTTTGAGAGTTTCAGAGAGAGAGAGAGAGTGTGTGTGGGGTGTTAGTGTTACATGTGCGTGCACTGCAGTCTGCTTGTGGGTTTATATTAATTAACTCGTTTCTCTTTGGTTGTGGATGTCGTTTCTTTTGACGTTCGGAATCTTTTTTTTTTTTTCGGTTTCTAGCCGGTATCGGGTTTGCCTCAATTAATTTGGATTCGACTCAACGTAACGCACCTAAAAATGGTGGGTGATTTTCCTGACAAAAACTATCACACACCTAAAAAATAATGAATGAATCTCCCAACAAAAACTATTGTATACACAAAATTTTAAACTCGAGAGCTTGCTTAAATTGGAAGAAACCGCTTCACCCAACCCCTCGTTGGTGACGTTCGGAATCTTGACGGGGAAAACAGAGAGAATCCGGACAGATCTGCACCCGCAAAGAAACATGAACTTTCCTTTTTTAATAATTCCCGAGTCGTCACGTGAACCTAACTTTTCCGTCGCGTATGAGGGAAGGGTAGCTGGGGTTATGCCCACCACAGCTAGGCGTCGGCATGATTTGGTTTACAATCTAATGAAAATCAAATTTTCAATTATTTGTTTTTTTTTTTAGTAACTAAAATCAAATTGAATTTTTTATTAATTTTCAACTTTTTTTTTAGGTTTTTCATACAATTTTACATGTTATCTTAGATTCTTTTAATTTTTTTATCATCAATTGGTTTTTTTATTTTATTATAATTCATAATATTATATATAT